AGTATAAATTGGCAGTTACAAAATAGTTACAGGGATGTAAAGTACAGCATAGGGAATATAGTCAATAATATTGAAATAACTATGTATGTTGTCAGAGGGGTACTAGACATATCAGGGGGGATCACTTCATAAGTTATATAAACGTCTAACCACTATGGTGTACATTGAAACTAATATAATATTGAATGTCAACTATAATTGAAAAAAAAATTCTATATCTCTTATCTATATTTTGTTTCCTTACATAGCAAACAGCATTTTACATGCTAATAAAAAACTAAAATACTATTTTAATTAATGTATTAATTATATGGCTGCACCATAATCTACTTAATCGATTTTCTACCATTATGTATTACTTAGATGGTTTCCAATATTTAGTTGTATAAATAGCATTTTACCTTAAAAAAAGAGAATATCATTCAACAAAGTGTCTCAGCTCTTTTCGCATAAACTAGGTGCTCTATAAGTTTATGTTGAATGAATGAAAGCATTCAACGTAAGTAATACTGTATGTTTTCTCTTTGTACATCTCTGACCCACCTCTTCTTCCCTACAAGTCCCTGACACAGGACCCAGCTCCCAGAAGTTACTCGACACATCCAGAAACATACAGAGCTGCAAGGCGCTTTTGTGACTATCCAGCTTTTCTGTCCCTGCAGCTCACCAAAGGGGGTAGGAGACCTCTCCAGGTTCTTTCTCCTACCTCTGAAAAGAGACAATCAAGCAACATGCACAAAGGAAGACACACAGGCTTCAGAGGTGCTGAGAGGCCAAGTTCTAGCAGAAGAGGTCAGCAGCAGATGCCCTTCTGGAGTGGAATCCAGGGAGGAAGGCTAGGGTGTGGTGGAGGGTCCATACTTGCCCTACTTCTCAGAACAAATAAACACCCCTCTGCCCAATACGCTGCACCTTCTGAATAATGTCAAAACACCTGAAACATGTTCTTTGGAGAGACCTCATCACCTCAGGACACATCTACAGGTTTCACTAGGCACCACAGGCTTCCTTGGTGTCCCCTTCCCACCCTACTCCCCCTTCCTCTGGGGAGGGGGAGGCAAAAACATCCAGCAACAAAGGCCAGGCCTCTGGTGTCACCTTTAGAAGCAGAGAAAGGCTTTCAGTAGAGGACAAATGGAGTTTTTGGTCACTTACAAGGTTTGACAACGAAGTACGCAAACTTGCCACCATGCGCTTACAAACAGCTCGGTAAGGTTTGATAACCTTGGTATATCAGTGTCTCACAGCTGTGTTCGTGTCAACCTGTGGCAGTGTCTTGCTGAGTGGCAGTCATTATTGTTGTTGCATGTTTTTGTGTGCCATCGCGAGAATGTCTGAGCTTGAATTAGAGCAACAAACAAACATTAAATTTCTTGTTACACTTGGCAAGAGTGGAAGTGAAATTGGGAACATGTTAGTCCAAGTTTATGGGGATAATGCCATGAAGAAAACGGCAGTGTACAAATGGATTAAACATTTTTCTGAGTGGAGAGAATGCGTCACTGATGAAGAGAGGTCAGGGCGGCCAGTAACGAGCAGAACTGACGAAAACATTGCAAAAATTGGCCAAATTGTGCATCAAAATCGTCGGTTGACTGTGAGAAACACAGCAAATCAAGTAAACATCAACAGAGAAACAGTTAGGAAAATCTTAACTGAAAATCTTGGCATGAGAAAGGTGTATGCAAAAATGGTCCCAACAGGAGCTCACCGATGAAGTCGAAGTTTGCCAAGACCTTTTGGAGAGTCAAGACGATGTTTTGGGTTGTGTTATCACTGGTGATGAAACATGGGTGTACCAATACGACCGTGAAACAAATTGTCAAAGTGCACGATGGCCGTTAGCCAATTCTCCATGACCAAAAAAGTTCCGTCAGTCCAAATCAAGAGTCAAAACGATGTTGTTAGTCTTTTTAGATATCAGAGGGATTATTCATTATGAATTTGTACCAACTGGACAGTTAACCAAGTGATGAAAAGGCTGCATGGAAAAGTTAGATGAAAACAACCTAAACGTTTCGCCAAAAATTCACGGCTCTTGCATCACGACAATGCACCAGCTCACAAGGCACTGTCTGTGAGGGAGTTTTTAGCCAGTAAACAAATAGCCATATTGGAACACCCTCCTTATTCACTTGATCTGGTCCCCAATGACTTCTTTCTTTACACAAAGATAAAGGAAATATTGAAAGGAAGACATTTTGATGACATTCAGGACCTCAAGGATAATACGACAGCTCTGATGGCCATTCCAGGAAAAGTTCCTAAATTGCTTTGAAGGATGGACTAGGCGCTGGCGTCAGTGCATAGCTTCCCAAGGGGAGTCCTTTGAAGGTGACCATAGTGATATTCAGCAATGAGGCATGTAGCACTTTTTCTAGGGTGAGTTCGCAAACTTAATTGTCAGACATCATACTTCTTCCTGTTTCTGGTTATCCCCAGTCCCTGGAAGTCCTGAGCATCTCTGGCATATAGGGTCCCAAAAATCCAAAATCCTATGTCAAGAAACTTATAGGAAAGCAGCACAAACACCACAAGAGCTGTAATTGGATAGAGGGGATAACATTCTAGCCTAGTATGGCCACAAAGATTCTAAGAAGGGGTGCTACTAGGGCTGGGCCTTGAAGGGTAGAAATCACTGGGTTTATGGGGACAAGAAAGCAGCAGAGGGAATGGCAGATGTAAATAATATTGAAAACAAGAGCTAACATTTACTCAGTGCTTACTCTGTAGTTGGTGCTAAGCTAAGTGTCTTACACATAATAGCTTGCTGACACCTCACAACCTTCTGAGATAGGTACTGTTAATATACTAGATAAAGAACCCAAGGTTCAGAGGTGTTAAATAATATGTCTAAAATAATCCAGTAATTGGCAAGGCTGGGGTTCAAACTCAGATTTGTCTAACTCCGTAGTCCACCACACTATGTCCACCAAGAGCTGGGGGCGTGACCTGTGTGATTCCCTCACACAGGAATATGTGTGAAAGAGCAAGGGAATCCCTGAATGTCATGCGAAAGTTCTGCATGGTGATCTGCAAGAGGGCCATGTCCTGAGCAGTGTTGTAGGAAGAATGGCCTAACGTTATTTATGGAGGATGATGGAGGGTCGGCTGGGAAGATGGGAACCCTGTGGCCCCAGAAGCTCAGTCCAGGGGAGGAGGGGTGATAAGGAGGCAGGCAGCAGCAGGAATTAGGAAAGCCTAGAAGAGAAACAAGTTTGCCAAATGCCAGTTGGCAATCAATGGAATTCACCTTCAGATTTAAGCAAAGATCTTTCTCCAGTCCCAGTCAGTCCACAAAACTCATACTAAGTGCCAACTGTTTGCCAAGGCCCTGCCTCAGACAGCCTCCCTGTTTCTCCTCCTTTTCCCATGGTGAGGATAATCAGGTTACTGGTAGGCTCCTACAACCCTGCACCCTAAGTGCTCTCCTCTCCTTCCCACCTCCACTTCCATAAAGGAGGTGAACATTTTTTGCACATTTATGTTAAAACCATTATGTCCACAACTGTATTTTAACTTCAGTAAGTTTAGAATTTTAAAGGTTGTATTTTCACATTACTGGTTTAGTTTGCAAGGTAAACAACAACTAATTTTTTTAATTGAGCTCACTTTTTAACCTTAATAAATGTTTGATTTGAAAAAATTTCTCAGGGCTGGCCAAGTGGCGCAATGGTTAGGAGTTGGCTTGGGACACCAGATCTGAGCAGCAGGGTCCCGGTTTGGATCCCACATGAGGGCCAGTGACGCTGCGCCCTCTACAGCTAAGATGGTGAACAAGAGCTCGGCCTGGAGCTGGGCTGCCCTGTGTCACCAGCTATGGTGTTGGCTGCAGTGGGGCTGGCCAGCAGTGGGCATGAGCTTTGGTGAGCTGCCGTGAGCCACGGTGAGCGGCCGTCCAGTGGCCAGCGAGCGACTGCCTCACCCGGGAAGAGAGCAATGATAATACCAATATGAGCCAGTGAAGCGACGTCCTCCACGGCTAGACTGAAGAACAAAAGGACAGCAACGTGTCTGTTCCCTTCCCCCGATTCCCCAATAATAAAATCTTAAAAAAAAAAAATTCTACAGGTGAATCATCTGGTCATCTTCCCCCTCTAGCTACCAACCATGAGGTTAGCTCGAGAGTATCACTTGGGGGTCAGAACTCACATCCCAGCCACTGTGCCTTTCACTATCACCTGGGGAGGGGGAGGAGGCTAAGACTGAAATCAGGGACATCTCTAACTCAGTAAAATTGATGCGAATGTGTCTCAAGGGGGGGGGGCCATTCCATTTTTATGCTGTGTGCGCTTGAGAAGAAAGGGGGAACTCAGCTTCTCACAGTTCTTGTTCTAAGACTCGCTGTCCCAACGGACATCCTTCTTGCTGAGGGGGCGGGACTTATTGGCCAAATACATGTGTATGAACATCCAGGCTTGTAGGGCCACACCTTGCTCTCCCAAACACTGTCTTCATAAGACTGCTCGGCCAGTGGCTCCGCGATGGGAGAAAACTCTAAAACAGGCTCAGCAATTCCCCAGAAAGGCTTACCCCGCGGCCAACGCCAAGACACAATGATCCCAAATGCCTTGGTGTATGTATTAGGAGGGAAGTGGGGGACTTTTCCGCTTAGTTTCCCTAAGCCTTGCCACCAGAGAGATCTCACTCTGGCTACGTCAGGGTAAAGGAACTTGTATGGGCACATCTCACAACAACCAACCATTCCCGAGAGACCCTCTCTTCCAAACTGCACCGCAAACATAACGAAGGAAGAGGCGGGCCAGACAGAGGCGAACCATTGGGTTCTTAAAGCCTTGTTTGCGTTTGGGCCTGAGCTGAGCCGCAGCTGGAGGTAGATCCCCTTCTCACGCACCCGCCATCAGCCCCCGGATTCCCCGTGAGGTCTCTCAGGCCCTTCGAGAACCCCGCCTTGGGCTGCCCAGACCTCGGAACCCTCAGGCCCGGGCCAGCCTCCTTTCCGGCCTTTCAAGGCCCGGCATCCCGGCCCGGGGGCTCACCCTCGAGCGTCTCGCACTGCACCAGGTTGAGGTAGTCGGCCTGGCTGAGCACCCCAGCCTTCAGGCCGCGAACCAGTCCCTCCAAGTAGCCATTGTCCACGTTGAAATAAAGCTCCGGGAAGAACGACATGGCTGCGCAGGGGGCGGCAGGACCGGAGAACCCGGACCCGCAGGCACGCAGCGCAACTCCAACCAAGATCAGCTGACTCCCCGCCCGCTGGGGACTGTCAAGCGCATCAGGTGACGCGCAAGTGCGTCACGTGTTACAACGGGACACGTCTCTGAGTTGCGCCCGGCTTCCGGCTGGTTTCGAACAGAAGCATTGCGCAGGTGTGGGCTGGGACAGCCCTCTGGCGCCTGCGCGCTGAGGGAAGGAGGACCGCCTGCTCACCCGCAGGAGCTGCTTGGAGTGTCCGAGGTTGGCCGCGTGGTGGTGCCCGTGGCTGCGGGATTTGGATTGGACCATTATAGCTTTCCCCGGTGGTACATCTGGCGCTGTGCGAGTGTGCGGAGTAAAGATGGGAGCGGGCAGTAGTATTTCTGGTTGGAAATATTCCAGACTGTTGAATCAGCCTTCCCCCGAGGGCAACTGAGGTACGGTAAGGGGCGGGCTTCGCTGGGGGTCACACGTCGAGTTAGCTGCAGGCAGGTCTTGGAGCCTAATGCTTGTTCGCCAGCCAGGAGTTACATACAGCCCCTATCCCGCGCTGCGCTCTCCCTTCCCCGCATTTACTGCACATGATACTCGAGGGCTGGAGCGCAGCTCTCTCTCTCTGCTTCCTCCAACGGTGCCTGGCGCCCTAAGAGCGTGTGTGTAACTCAGATGATGGGGTAACATGGGCCCTGGGGTAGGGATATGTGTGTGGTTTCTAAGCTTGGAGACATGCCCATCCCTGCCCTGACCTCCCCCGTCCGACGTCCACGTTCGAAATAATGCCACAGCCTTGGGATTGGTCCCAAACTTTATTCATGCCCCCCTATCCCAGCCCTGACTCTGACTTCGGCCAACTAGGTGCGGCTGCAGGGGTTCATGGCAGTACCCAGCTTGCGGCAGTAGCAGAAGGCGTTGAAGAATCGGCAGTAGCACGTGGCGCATGGGTCACAGCACGGTACCTGGTGTCCCAGACAGGACTCATGCAGCCGCACACATCGACGAGGGGAGCGTGATTCACGTCCTTCAGGATCTAGCACCTGCAGGGATGCGGAAGCATGGGCCTCCGAAGGGACCTTATCTGCCCCTGTCCAAGTGGGATGGCAGTGAAGCATGGGGAGGGATGGCCTGCAGTGTTGCCCCAGGTGAGGGGGTCACTAAGTGGAGGGTGGGGTTGATGCCTGATGTCCCCTCCCAAGGCCTGTGGCCTCACCCCTTTCCCTGAGCAGTTACCTCTGCCAAGTCCTTGGCCTCCTGCAGCAGAGCCTCTTCCGCCTGTTCCTCAGTTGTCTTCTTCAGCCCAGGCCTCAGGCCCAGGCCTGGGACAGATGATATAAGGGCAGAACCCCCCCATGGCCAAAACACCCGCCTCCCAGGCCTGGGATTGGGAAGGGGGAAGGAGAGTGCAAACCAGGCAGAATAGTTTGTGGCCAGAGGGTGTCTAGACCCCACCCAGACTCACCCCACACTGACCTGGCAGCTCTGGGAACAGGGCCTGGTCAGGCCTTCCGATGCCGTCCAGGGGGGCCAAGCCCATCTGGGCCCCCTGCATGGCAGGCAGTGCCAGCAGCAGGGCACCGCTCAGCAGCACTGCGGTCAGCATGGCCTGGCTCAGCAGGAAGACCCACCAGTTAGCCCCTCCTCATCCTTGGAGCACCCTCTAGGTGCTTTACCCCAGAGAGAGGGCCCCCAGAGAGTAGGAGTCTCTGCCCAACCTGAGGACTTACCTCTGCTTGCTGGATCCTTGCCCCGAGAGTTCCTGGCCACTCCGTGCCCTTAGCTTATATGGCAGGGTCTAATGAAGGGCCCACACGTGACTGCTCCCTGCAGCTAGGGCATGAGGGGCCCTCCCAGAAGGGTGAGGGTTACAGTTCAGGCCTTTCCCTGGAACCTGAACTTTTGGGTGCTCTACAAGAGGGTGCCCATCTCCAATTGTGGGTGAGGTCTCCAGGAGCCAATCAAAGTTTGGGAACAAGAGAGGGTGCCCAGGGTCCCCAAATTTCTATAGGACAGGGACCTGGGGCGGGGGGTGGGGGTAGACAGGCTGGAGCCATTAGCAGTAACAAGGCAGGCAGCCCTGAGAGCTTAATTTAATTTGTGGCCCCGGAGATGCTCACTTAGATACTACATGGCTTGTTGTTTGCTTTGCTTCCAGGAACTTGGGTCAAGGGCATTGAAGGGGGTGATGGGCCAGTGGCCACGTGAGATGAGGGTGGGGTTTAGGCCCAGACCCTGAGTGTTTTGGGGAGGAAAGGGGAAGGGAGAAGTCCAACGTAGCCAAAACCAGGCCCTCTTGCTTCCATCCCTGGCCCTAACTCCCCTCCCCTTGCTCCCTCCAGGCTTCATTAAGACCCCCACCTCTTCTCCTGCCCCCAAACCCCTTTCTGCCTGGGGTTCCTGGAAGCCAAGGAAGCAGAACAGACTGTTCCCTGGGTGGGCAAACAGCTTCAAAGTAAAAAGCTTTCAGGCCGCCTGCCTCATTAGTGCTAATGGCTGCTCCCTTCCTCCCTGTGTTGTCAGGACTCTGCCTACGTTCGGTCTCATCAGCCCAAGGCTGGGATGAAGACTGCCCTTTTGTGGAGATGCTAGGACACACAGGATCCCTGCCTTCCCTCACCACTCTGGAGGGCAATTTATCACATTTGCCCATTAGGGAAAGGGATGCAGGCTGAATCAGCTTCAAGGCCTCAATGTACAAACTGGGCTGGCCCAAGGCAGCAGGAGGAGGAACCGGGGCTGTTTGTAGCCCAGGTTCACACAGGCTATTCTGAGGAAGTCCTCGCAAGAGCAGTTGGAAACCATAGGCTGTCATCTGGCAGCCTTTGACCTGGTGTCAGCACCAACAATTGGTGTTGGGGTGCAAGTTGCATGGGGAGGAGGCACTCTGCAGAGGGTGGGCCTGTGGCAGCTTCTTCCACAGAGGGGCACTGATATCTGTTCTGGGATCAGGCTGGCATTGGATTCACTTGTGGTTGGCTCAGGGTAAGTCCTAGGAGCTCAGAGGGTCACATACTACTGTTGGGAGGAGGAGTCAGGGGAGTCAGGGAAAGCCTCTCTGAGGAGGTGGGTCCTGAATAATCCAGTAAAGGGCCAGTCCCCATTTCTCCCCCAAGGAGGGTACTGGCTGTTTTCATGACAGTTACAAAGCCAACCTGGTGTCAAGACCTCCGTAACAGCTGACATTGACCTTTCTCTTCCAGAGGCTATAGCTGGGCCTAGTGGCCCACACAGGACTTCTTCTTCTTAGAGTGGTGCAGGGTGAAGGTATCAGGCACCTAGGTGTGCCCCCATCCTGGTGAGGGCACTAGAAAGGGCAGTACATCAAATATGCCTGAGGCACATTCCTCAAATCCTTGTATCCTGGCCACATCCTTGGAGATTCTGGCTGAAGAGATGGTGGTGGGGCACAGGGACTGCATGTGGATTCTGGCAAGGGTGAGTTGAGGTGGGGGCACCTGGCTGGGCCTGGTCAGCACCCATGGCGTGGGGCCTCCTCCCACCCAGGCACTCAATGTCTTTGCTCACCTACAGAGCAGTGGCTGTCTTCCCCTGGGTGTGTGTACACAGGTGTATCAGCCTCATGAACCGTGATGGACAAGGACTGAGGCACTCATGGGCAGCCCAGGTCCCTGGTCAGGTCCAATGGGGGAGACAGTCAAGAAAACCAACGATCAAAACACAGTGGGGTGATCAGAGAAATATAAACATTGGCTATTTGATGACACTAAGGAATAATTGTTAATTTTTTAGTGGTGATGATGGTGTAATGGCTATGCTTTTTTTTTTTTTTAAGGATTCATCTTTTAGAGAAACATAATGAAGCATTTACTGATAAATTGATAGGAAGTCTCAGATTTGCTTCAAAATAACCTGAGGTAGGGGTGAGTGGTGGGAGGTGATATAGATAAAACAAAATTGTTCATGAGTTGGTAATTGTTGAATCTGGGTGATTATATGGGATTCATTATCCTACTACTGCTACTTTTGTTTATGTTAGAAATGTTCCATAAGGGAAATTTAAAACAAAAGAAAAATTTTTAAATGCAGTGGGATAAGTACTTTGGTAAAAGAATGCTCTAGGGCCATGTGGGACTAGGATAGGCACCCACCCCAGCTGAGGGAAGAGGCAGGAAGTTGGCTAGGGAAGGTTTCCCAGGGGAAGAGACCTTTATTTAGCCTTGAAGCTTGAGTAAGAGTTGGGGACATGCCAGGCAAGGAACAGTGTAAGTTTCCTGGACCCATAACTGGCACACGCTTTATCAAGCTGACTAGTTAGACACTGGCACAGGCTCTGCCGCAAGCCTGAAGGGCCCCAGCCTGGTAAACAGTCAGTAGATTCTTTTTTCTCACCTGGGATCGGGGAGTCAGCTACCCCAGAGTTGATTCAGTCCATAAGTCAGTCAGAGTACCCTAACGCATTTAAAATGGCAATTAGGGGCCGGC